AGGCTGTCTGTGATGACCCAAGCACATGATTCAGGAAAATGGTACTCAAAAGCCCATGGGGCTCTTCTACAGCAAGCTGTAACATGCTGCTTGACAGTTTGATAGTAAAAAGATTTAAGGCATGCTTACAAGGTAGAAGTGACACAGTACTACTTGTTGGATAATCCTTTGACTTTTGAGCTGTCAAGTACACAACAACGGACCACTGCACTGTGTTAAAGACTGAACAGAAAACAGCCTTAAGCAAGAAAGGGAGAAGGGGCAGCAGCCACAGAAACATCTTGCAGTGTGGGGAGTGCTCTAAATTGTGTGATTAAAGATATTCACCATGAACAGACACATTCAGTCAGTTGATATGTCTTTCCACCAGCACAGATATCATCTTCAGCAAAATGGAACTCACAGCAGTCATAATTTAAGTACTGTTCAAGCAAGAGAATAGCTCACTCCCTTTATAACAGATCTGATGTAATTGGCTACCAATATGAGTTAAGGCCAAACGATCCTTACTCAAAAGTATTGCTGTTGCATAGCAATGTCTGTACCAGACTGGACTGGGTTATAGATGGTACCATGTAACATATTAGTTGTACCTAAATGTATCAGACAGACAGAGGTCTTCATTATTAGTATTGCTCTAGTATGTTCAGCTGAACAAGACTAACAATTAGGCAGAAAGGTATTGGCTATTCAGAGGCTTTCCACTTGCACAGAAAACTAGAAGGATTTTCTCCAGAAAGCATAATTTGTTCTAGACAATTTCAGAGGCATTTTGTCTATTGACTTCGGAGTTCTGTTTTAAAATCACAGCATACTCAGAGGTCAAAGTAGTTTGTTTGCTGCCCATTCTTTTATTTCAAAGGATTTATGAGATTGCTTTATGCTTGCTATTGTATATTATGACTGTCCTGCAGACCATGAATGTTTCACCTGATGTGCCATGAAGTTACTTGTGGGCAATCTGTAAAAATGTTCTTTGAATGTACAAAAGACACATTTTGAAACTCACATGTGATGCTGTGACCTGTTTGAAAAGAGCAACTTGAAACAACATTCTAAATTGTAGCAGTGAGTTTGAATGCTTTCCTTGTAGCTTCTGACTCGAGTCTGAATATCCTAATATCTGAATTTAAAAAGCAACAGAAGTCTCTGCTTTGCTCAACCTCTTTTGCCACAATACATCTTTCTTCAGTTCCATATTTTTTTTAAAATACAGACGCTCTGAATATTGTTTTCAAAATTAATTTGTATTTATACAATATGCTTATTGATAGTTTTCTACTGACAATCTGCACAGACCATGTTGGCACACAAGTTCCCCGAGTCAGACTGCTCTAGTAATGCTAGACTGCTCTACAAAATGCTTTATGTTTTGCAATTCAGGTTTAAGTGGCACCAGGCACAAGAACTAGACAATTACATACAAGTTTTCACTATAGGAGTTTCTATTCATTGCAGCGGAGTTGGACTCAATGGTCTTCAAGAGCCCCTTAACTAAAATGATTCTTCGATTCTGTGAATTTATGAAAAGTTGCAGTAAGGACAGGGTGGGCACAGAGCAGCAAGCAGTCCTGCATGTACTGCATTTTTATATTCTCAGAATGGTGACTGCTAGAGGGATCTGGAGTGTCAGTACTCGTTATGTCAGTACTTGTTATAGAGAAAAGAAAAAAAAAAGAAAATTAACTTAGAATTCCTTAGAGACATCGTGCATAACTTAATATCACACATTTTTTTTGCTTTCTTATCACTATCTATGCCACAGCATTTGCTTCTGTACTCGAATCATACTTAGTACTCAAATTTCAATGAACAGCTTTTATATTTTTGTTTCAGTCTTTTCAGTATGCTCCATCCTTTTCTCCAAGGTGCCACATGATATCCTTCATTTCATTTAGGGATTTCTTTCTTTCTTTCCCTCTTTCATTCTCTCTTTCTTTACCTTTTCCTTTCTCTCTTACTTCTTTTTTTCTTTTCTTTCCCTTTTATCCTTCCTCCTTCCCTTCTTTCTTCCTTTCTTTCTTTCTTCCTTCCTTCCTTCCTTCCTTCC